CAAACTACATTTGAGGTTAATGAATTCCCCAAGTGTCTTCTTTTAATCTTAGCAGATATCATTCATACAGAAGAAAGAGGTAGAGAACCAAAGTTTACGGTTTAGAGTTTTAGAGAACCAAAGATTGGCAAACTTTCAAAATGTTCTGTATGGATAAAGTCCTCTTGGAGGAACCAAAGAAAGCCAAAACATACCTGAGGATCCTGCCCTATTTACCACAGGTGACAAATATATACAGTATTCTAAATAAGACCCTACAAAACTGTCATATTTTAGAAATAACTTTTTTTCTTTATTTTGTTTTGCGTCAAAATTATATACTGAACATACAACTTTGCAAAAATATCCAACATTTGAAACATGACTTCAGTTATCAATAGTCTAACAAGTTCTCAGCACTTGGGAGTTTATACATCTTCATCAGGCTATCCTTTTCTATAATTCACGCTTCCCAACCTTATGAGACCCACAAACTCTATTAGACTAAAGCAGTGGTTCTCAACCTGTGGGTCGGGACCCCATTTGGGGTCGATCGACCATTTCACGGGGGTCGCCAAACAAGGCTGTCCGCCATTTTTTTTGTCCATTTTTTCCCCTTTTCCGGCGGGTGCCTTACCTCCCTTGGGCTGGGCCAGCTGGTGGTCGGCCTGCTCCGTCTCTGCCGCTTGCCAGCTACGCCTCGGCCAGCGCAGGGGGCGGAACCACGCATGCGTGGCGCTCCCGGGCAGGGAAAGTCCTCAACTTACGACCAGTTCGGTAGTCCTCGACTTACGACCGGTTTAGTCCTCGACTTACGACCAGTTTAGTCCTCGACTTACGACCGGTTTAGTCCTCGACTTACGACCGGTTGGGGTCACGGCATTAAAAAGGTTGAGAACCACTGGACTAAAGTCTCCATAAACCATTATCAGGTCAAGGAAGGGTGATTCATTGGCTTTTATCAAACCCCTAAAGTTCCTGACCTTCTAAACCAGGGGTCTTCAAACTTGGCCCTTTTATGACTTGTGGACTTCAATTCCCAGAATTCCTCAGTCAGGCATGCTGGCTGAGGAATTCTGGAAGTTGAAGTCCACAAGTCATAAAAGGGCCAAGTTTGAAGACCCCTGCTCTATACTGAGATTTCCCTTTGCAAATTTAAATCCCTAGTTAGTCTCTCTTTGTAAGCTCTAGAGGTAGACAGAAAATATATCATGGGAAGATCTAGGAGTTTCTTTAGGAGAAGTATATATTCTCTCTCTATCATAAACAAGGATTTTGAAATGAAGAATGGATGATGAGAGGGACCAGGAATAAATGTTTATAGGAAAAGAACTAAAAACTACTCTTTGAAATTCAGCTGAGCATATTTCCAAAAGTGTTCCCTTTCTTAATTCTATGCATTTTGGCTAGTTTTAAACCTAGCTTCAGTCACTCAATATAGGAGTTCCAACAAAACAACAATCTTGATCCCATAAGGTTAAATTCTGCAACCATAAAGCATATTAAGGTTTTATCCTTATTCTAATATCAGAAGCAATGTTATCAGCAATGTTTGCTGTTTCAGAGACCAAATCTGTTGAAAGCCCATCAAGACAAATAAGCGGAACTGAAAATTATTTTTAACTCTGGAGTCTTTTGTATTCTGGCCAGCAATACAATAATCAGGCTTTTGCTTTAATAAGGAAAATAATTATGGATACAATTATTATATGTCAGAGTTTCATTCCACGGTAATTAAACTTCTGGCTCCCTTTTAGGAACCATTTACCAGCAGTTTTATTTGTCCAAGGAGTCCTGAACCATTAAAAAGATAGGAAACAGCCTGACAAAGCCATTCAGCAATAACAACAGCTCAGAAATCTACAAAGATGGAAATAGAGGAGTAATCTTTTATCTTTTTAAGGAATATCTTAACTAGAATAGTTAATGTTTGCTGGAACGTAACATATAATTAAAGATTTCTTACAGATTATGTTCATTGCATGAGTTTCCATCACAGCTGGGTTATAAATAAAGGGGCTTACTTATGAGACAGACAAGATTCATCCTGTGCTCACTGAGATACATGCTAACAAAACTAAGGTAATGGAAACCCATTGATTTGGTGATTAATCAGATGGTTAGCTGGTGGGAGAAAAGAAGCTTTGATTCTAAGGGAAGTACTTATTTGGGTGTCTTTCAAGAACAGAAAGAAAAAAAATTCTTAGCTGGTCTAAAATGAACCAAGCAAAATTAGCTTTTAGCAGCTGATGGCCAAAATAAGTGCTATTGTGTAGCAAGGCCTAATTGAATTCAGTGAGCTAGATCACCACTTCTGCTCATTGATTCTAAATAAAAAGCCAGTTTCTCATAAACTATTCAATGAGAAAGTACTCTGTGTAAAACAAACTTAATTTAGGAGGTAAACATAATAACTAATGAATGAAATTCATAGTGAAGCTGAAAATTCTAGATAACAAATCAACCAGGTCATTAGAAAGACAGATAATTTATGTTTCTATCCTTTGTTATAATTTGTGGATCATATGAGTGATACATAGCCCTTTTGCCTTGAGTTCTGGATGGTAAGCATCTTGTTTAAAGATGGCCATGGTATAGAGCAGGGGTGTCAAACTGCTGGCCCACGGGCCGGATGTGTCATGCCGAAACTGCACACACCCCATTGCTGGTAATGGAGAAAAAGTTGTGATATATCGTCATGTGACGTTGCAAGTTTGACACCCCTGGTATAGAGAGATTTTTTTAAATTAGAAGCAAGAGAAAGTAGTTGTGATAAAAACTAGCCACCGTGTCAGATTGAAAACTAATATATAATGATTGCATATTGGACTAAGAATAGGAGGACTCAAATTCACATCAGCCAAATCATTTTTTTTAATTCAAAGCAAAATTACTCAATTAAAATATGAAAAGGTTATTTCAGTATCTTTTTACAAAGAGTTGTCCAATTATTGAGTTGCTATCTGTAATAGACAAAAAACAATGTAGGTGTGGGAGGGTGGATTGCCCAGAAAATAGCCAGCAGTTGTGCTGCATTCATCCTGTTTCTTTAAGACCTCTCCCCAGTCAGCAGGGCAACTATAAAAGCTGTGCTGAGGAAGTGCTGTGGTGGTCACGTTTGTGTGAGAGAAGAGACAAGTGCAAGAAGGAGAAGGTGTGTGTTAGTGTGTGGAAGTAAAGCAGCTTGAAAGAGATCATTTTCTCTAGCAATACATGGAGTAGGACTAGTAGGATTCACAAAGAGTAGTAGTTGGAGTAGGGGTGAGTAGGAATAGCCTGTGAATGCATGTGTATGTGTTGCCTAGGGATCTGTGTTGTGCTGGTTCTTTTGTGTTTTGAGCCCACTGAATTGGGTATACTTAAAAGAGCCTGTGTCAAAGTGTTAGTGGTGGGACATTCAACACAAGCATGCAACCACACAAGTGGAATTGGCTTAAACTCAAGGAAATCATCAAATACTCCATGGAAAAAAAACAAACCTTGATGGCAAAAGGGAGTTTGGCCCTTGCAATGCTCACACTTTGCAGGCAATATCCAACATCCTGGCTGCAGAAACCAGGCATCTCACTAGAGCCTACACCAAACAGACATGGAAAAGATAGAAGGGACAGATTCTCCCTTAGAAGAGATTACTACTTTTGTAGAAACATATATTTACTCTACACCTGTAATTAAACCAAAGAAGAAAGTAGACCAACCAGTAATTGTGCTAGGCTCTGATACCATTACAAAAATGTTGAAGCCACAGCAAGAGGAAAGGCTTTGATTAATTAAAAGAGGAAAAAGAGCAGCTTTGGAGGGAGACAGAGATAAAAGATAAGCTAGAATGAGAAAAGAGTCAAGAAAAAAGTTGGGGGGGCTGATTTAAAGGGATCCAGGCACCAGAAGGGGCACATTCGCTGCTAGGATTTTTAGAACATAGAGGAGGTAGTACCAAAGACATAAAAATCTCTAAATTGACAGAGGAAGAGGACAATAGAAGCTTGTTTTACTATGTTTGAATTACTAGATCTTGTAAATGGCCTGAGAATGAATGTTTAATGGGAAAGGCTTTGAGAACTTATAGTCATCTTCCAGCAAGAGAAGTAATGGATTATTACTTTATTAAAGGGATCTTATACAGGTGTGTGGTATAAGCCCTTACACCTTTAGGCAGGGATTTAGGAGCTACACATATGGCAAACATGAAGGGATTTGTGTGTTAGACTCTTCTGTATCTCCTTGTTGCTAATTAATAGTCAACTAGATTTGTATGGCCCAGACTGGGTAGCGTAGCTCAGCCCAGACATTTCATCTTTCAGACTGAAATTCTAGCACAATGATATTAACTTCTTTGCACTTTAGTTATCTGACCAGCAGAATATGATATTCCAGCAAAATGTGTAGTTATGATAATTAACCTGGTTTGATGCATGTTAACCTGAGAGAAAGTTTTACTGAAGACAAAAGGCTCTTGTCAACATAATATTGAGCTAACGTTTTGGTATTTTATAAAGATTTGCTTCAATTAAATGATACATGTCTCTCAACAATCAAAACAGCCTTTATTTTCATTAGAAAGGAAGTCAATTTGCCTATTCACTATTGTGCATAATTTTATTGCTATTTTTTGTGAGAAGCTTAACCTTAACCTAATCTAAATTAGAATGTGTTCACTGATTCCAGTTCCCTGCAGCAAAGTGTCATAAGAAAAAAAAATTCTGGATGTTCACAATAATCAACAATATAAGCACTTAGAAATGAAGGAAGGTTTAATATTGCCAATATTTTATTCCGAAGTTCAGTTCTGATATATAAAGAAAAATGTGATTCCAACAATATGCAGAATACCTTCACATTTTTATAATTGTCTTTTCATGATTAAGATGCTAAGTTTTAAGGATGGGAGGTTTCTCTCCTTCTAGAAAAAAAATTGAACAGTTGTGGTCAGCTAGTTAAATAGTACATATTTAGTCACCAATTTTTTTAAAATTAATTTATACATTTCTGTGAAAAAAGGGAGAAAGACGGGAAGAAAGAGAATGAAAGTTTCTGTCACTTTCCTTATCTTGGGCTTACTCATCCTGCTTCTTGAGGCTAACCCAGGAATCAAGGTGAAAATCACACAGAAAGCATTAGACTATGGTGAGTATGGAAGAAAAATTTGGAATTATGACTATGTTGTAACCTTCAGAAGAAGGAATGCGCCACAGGACATTTAATCAAGATGTTGAACTAAATGCCAACCCTCATTGTACCAGTTAAGGTTAATAAATAATGTATCTTCTCCTTAAGAGGAAATTTTCCCTGAGTTCTTACAAGAAATATGGGATATTATAATAATTGGTTACACGATCAACTAGATGTTAGGTTGGATTTGGCATTTTTATTCACCTATTGAGTCCTTTCCAAAGACTTGGGATAGGCAGATGTTGTTTAAAGGTGTTAATGTATCATTGCAGGATGTAAGCTGTTCCAGGTAAAGCTGCCTTTTGCAACTGATTGGTGGTGATTTTATCATTAGTGATGGTGCTCAAGTGGTTGATTTAACCTTGACAAAATGGGCAGCATATAATTTTAATGTGGTGCTCCATTGTTTTGGGATTGCACCCAAAGCACCTATTACTATTATACTCTTTTCTTTCTTTTGCCACAGTATCATAAATTACTATTTCAGTGAAATATATGATGTATGCTTATAGGAAATCAATTTGGAATAGAGCTTCTGAAGCAGAAGTTAAAGGAAAAGATCTTTGAAGACTGGAATGGAGAATCTACATATGCATTTTTTGCACTCAATTACACAATTTCAAAGTAAGAAATGTTTTTATAAGAGGGCCCTTTAGTATAGCTCAGTGTTAAGTACTTCCAATGTTTTTCTATTCCTCTTAGGCAATGTCATTAAACTCATAACCCTGTCTGTGAGCAAGCACTGTTTTAATATAGATTTCTCAAAGTTCCAGTTCTTTACTGGAAATCTTTACCCAACAGTTCTTTACCCAGAAATCCATTTGATCCTTTTTTTTAGCTTTAGTTTTGAAATGGATGAATAAGTGTATGTAGGCATTCTTTCTGCGCTTATTGGAATCTGATTTCCAGTTAAAGAGATTACCTAGTATAGCTATCTTCTAGCCTTCTCCCAGTTCCTGATTAATGTTTCATATAGCCCAATTTATAATGTGCCTTTCTTATCTTTTTGTTATGGACAAGGCTCAAAAGCCATTTCTAGTCTGCATAAAATTAAGCCAGTAATCTCAAAGGATGATAGAAGAATAAACTGGTGCTATGTTTGAGTCACTAACTGAGCAAACTCAGCCTTGCTCAGAGCACTCAGAGCACAGAGCAATATATATTCAGGCACTGAACATAGAAGGCCTAGTTATTCTCTTACACAAATATAGGTAGTCGTCAACTTACGACAGTTCACTGAGTGACCATTTGAAGTTACAGCGGCACTGAAAAAAAGTGACATGATCGTTTTTTGCACTTATGACCATTGCAGCAACCCCATAGTCATGTGATTTACATTCGGATGCTTGACAACTGACTCACATTTATGATGATTGCAGTGTCCCGGGGTCATGTGAATACCTTTTGCAACCTTCTGACAAGCAAAGTCAATGGGGAAACCAGATTCACTTAACAACCGGGTTACTAATTTAACAGTGATTCACTTAACAGATGTGGGAAGAAAAGTCGTAAAATGGGGCAAAACTCACTTAACAGATTTCTCACTTAGCAACATAAATTTTGGGCTCAATTGTGGTCATAAGTTGAGGACTACTTGTATACAAAAAAACCCTATCAAGTGATGGCTCCCCTAGTGCAGCATTCTTTCTAAATATCCTGATTGAATTGAATAACTGGTCTTCTGGAAACTTAAAACCAAGTTTTTTTGGAGACTCTTTGGAAAGGGAATAGTCAGCATCTTATCTGAGATACTATGGCCCAAGAATGCTTTTCAAAAGGCAACTAGATTTTCTTGGTCTTCTTTCTTGCTCTTGTGGTCAGCAACACCACCCATCACATCAGCAACTTGCGGAACTTGGGAAAGTCCAGTTACCTTTTGAAAAGCATCTTTGGGACAAGCATGACCTGGACAATTGAGAATCTCAATAGATTTTCAGCCACTCGCTTTGTGATAGTATGAAAAAATGTGTGTTATCTTTATCTTTATTTTATATAGTTGTAGGACAAGTCACCCAAAGTCATTTTTCTAAGTTTGCCAGTATACCAATTTAATAAATTAAATAAATGTAGTTTGGCTAGTGTCACCTAAAAAAAAAAATCACGTTAGAGCCCATCAAGTCCTGCAGTGCTAGGAAAAATAGATATAAGTGCATGATATAAAATCTGTAGGTGCTTAGTGTTTCAGCAGAAATTGAATAGTTTGGGTTACTATTCCTGCTAGCCTTACCTATATACATGGATTGTGGTGTAAATCAAGCTAACATAATTTTGGTGTTTGACAGGATAAAAATTGAAAACATGGAATTTCCCAACACATCCTTGTCTCTCATCTCTGGAACTGGGATTAAACTATTAGTGGAAAATGCTTCAGCAATGGCTCTTGCAGATTGGAGCGTGGAGACCTGGCTATTGTAAGTGGAATAATGAAGGCAGATATTAATACCATGTCAGCTTTACAAATTCAAATGCTGGCACACATTTTATAAAGCACAAATAAAAGTCCCAAGAAGAGGAGGTGGAAATGCAAGGCTTTTGTTCAATTGTGGTCCTGTCAAAAAATGTCCCTGAAAGTGGCTGTTTGAATCAGGAGGGACAATTGTCAAGGCAGAATGGTGAAAGTACTGGAACAGGTGAACATATTAAACAACCACTAAAGGCATACGCTCCCATAGAGTGGGTCTCCTCAGGGTGCCGTCAGCCAGACAGTGCCGGCTGGCGACCCCAAGGGGGAGGGCCTTCTCTGTGGGAGCTCCCACCCTCTGGAATGAACTGCCCCCAGAGATCAGGGTTATCCCTGATCTCCCTTCCTTTCGCCGCGCCCTCAAGACTTGGTTATTCCAGCTTGCAGGACTGGCCT